GAGCCGATCCGGGCCGGGAGGGGCAACCCCCACACCGCGCCGCTCCCCACCCAGCAGTAGCCCGGGGGGTGTTTCCCCCCTTATTGTTCCCGAGGGCAGGAGCATGAAGCCAAATCCCGCATTTTGGAGCTAGGCTGACACGAGGCAGGAAGCATTTGTGTTGCTGCTACAGCCTGACATCACCCAGCAAAACTAGAAGCATGACAGGGCCGGGGAGGCACTGCTGCCGCTGCCGCATTTGTTCCACCGCAGGAAAAAACCAGAAGTGCCTGCCCCTGTACCTGGCTGAGCCAGACCCCTAGGTCGCCACTTGACATCTGGATTGGATCTTTGGTCTGGTTTGACCGATCAGTTTTATGTAAGAGGATCCTACTGGGATCACAAATGAATAACTCAGGGACCGATTTTTGCCTTGTGTTGTATCCTGCGGGTTTCTAGAGTGCTAGAATTTTGCTCGTAGTTTGCAGAGTAAACTTTCAATACAGGCAACTGTGCTCTCCTCTGGTGAGCGCTTTGTATTGAGGCTAAATTATGCCTTTCGTCTCACTTTGCAGGCTTCTGGAGTGACAGTGAATGATGAAGTCATAAAGGTTTTTAATGACATGAAAGTAAGGAAATCATCAACCCCAGAAGAGATCAAAAAAAGAAAGAAAGCCGTTCTCTTCTGCTTAAGTGATGACAAGAAACAAATCATTGTGGAAGAATCAAAGCAGATATTGGTCGGCGATATTGGAGATACTGTGGAGGACCCCTATACATCCTTTGTCAAGTTACTACCTTTGAATGATTGCCGATATGCTTTGTATGATGCCACATACGAGACAAAGGAGTCTAAGAAAGAAGATCTGGTATTTATATTCTGGTGTGTAAAATCAAAGATTGCTGTCTTTAAACCAGATATTCTTGACTTTCTGCCTAAATATGGGTAGTTGAATAACTATGTTATTTCCTTTTACAGGGCTCCTGAAAGTGCACCTTTAAAAAGCAAGATGATCTACGCAAGCTCTAAAGATGCCATTAAAAAGAAATTTACAGGTACAGACTTTAAATAGTCCACAAAGCAATTGAAATATCTTATGGATGTTAAGGTACTGAGCAAATGCATCTTTGTTCATTTGTCTTTCAGGCATTAAACACGAGTGGCAAGTAAATGGTTTGGATGATATTAAGGACCGTTCAACGCTTGGAGAGAAACTGGGAGGCAGTGTGGTAGTTTCACTTGAAGGAAAACCCTTATAAAAAGACAGACAAGTGCCATCTGGATCCTAAGGAGCTTCCATTTCTGCAGCTCATTCAATTGGAATAGCATTAGTCTCCCTTACCCCAGTCCCCTCCCTCTGCCAACTTCCCCTCCCTACACATCTGAAGAAGATGTTATTAAGTTAAGCAGTCTACCAGTGATTGCCATTAGACTGTTTAATCCTGGTAGTTTTATGTAGAACCCAAGGAATGCTTTCACGTCATACTCTTAGCCAAAACTGACGTTGCATGCATTCCTTGCAACATGTACAATGAATGTGATAGTTAATGTGAATAGTCTAGCAGACAGCAAAGGGTAAGCTAATTGAATGCCTTGAAAGTATTGTCCACTGGCCGGATGGTAGACTCTATTCAGTATTACTTACAGTTGCACTTGATTGCAGTTCCATGAGGCTCTTGTGCATTCATACACCTCACCTGCCTTGACAAGCCTATTTTTGTGACATGGCAGCACACAACACTATGCATTTAAAGCACTTTTTTGTAATATGTTTTACCCTCCCCCCCTCAAAGGAATGCCAATTAAGTTGCTGTAACTGTGTCGTCAAACTATTGTAGTACCTCAGTTTTCATTCCTGTTACATGCATATCTTTATAAATGAAGTAGCTGTTACAATGCCTTTTTGTTTTCCATTGAATGTACACTACTGAACAGGAGTAGAGGTTATCTGTTTACCATGTGAGTCTTGGAACACTAAAGTTGTTTTGTAAAACATCATTCATGATGGCAATTTCTGTATTAAAAAGAGCCTTAAATGGAACACTGTTTTTGAGATCAAAAAAAACACACAACCCAGCTGGCCACGTTGCAATAAAACTTGTGGCTTATTACAGGACGTTGCCTTGTTTTCATTGGAAAATATAGTTTTTAAGTATGTTTAAAGTAAGCATATTTTGAATAACTTAACTTCTGTGGGAAGTATTGTAAAGGTAAACAATTGTTAATCTTGGCTTAAATAACAGACTTTTTTGGTCCTAGCCATGATTTAGGCACTGCTTTACAATACTTTTAAGACTGTTCTGTTGAATGGATAGGGAACCTAGTCACAGATCATATCTCTTAACCAAACAAGTTACCATTTATTAGGGAGCATTAGATACAAACTCATCTGAAATGTGCAAAATATGAACCCATCAACCATGTAGTACACTTATTTGAAGACTCTTAAAGTTCTATAAGTCAGAGGAAAATGCTTTAATACAGTTTTACAGCTCTTTCTTTGTTGTATCGTAATAGGGAGAAAATATCATAGGGTATTTAAATTACAGGTTATGAATTGTTAAATATTCACTGCATCTACAAAAGCTGCCATTTAATACTAACTTGGTACAAGAAATATTTTAATGAACTCTTTCATTTAGTAATTCTGTGTAAATAGAACTGGAAAGTGTTTGCCACTACCAAGTCTTGCATCAGGGACATGATTTGGCTAAAAGCCAAACACAGCTCTCCTTATAGAGAATTTGATCTGCTCTGTGTGAGCAATCCTTCGTTAGCCAGAGCTATTTATGGCAAACACATGCTTTTGTATCTTGTCATCGTTATCCACAAATGGCAAAACTGGACATGATTCTGCTGGTATGCATTAAGGAACTCTGTTAGGCAGCCAATCACAGCTGAAATGTACATGCTGCTAGAAGGAATGCTTTTAACATTACCTTATTTTAAAAAGTTGGTAGAGTAGAGCTAATGAAGTTTTAAATGTTGGTACTTTTAGCCTTGAGCCCTTCCTCAGAAGTGAAAAAGATGATGACAGGTTTTTTTATATAAATCAAAAGACCTAGTAAAGTTGTGGTTAGACTCTCTTGTCCTTATGGAGCTTTTAAAGACTTTTTTTTAGACTTTCAGCTGTCCCTATGTCTTACACACTTCACTTTGATATGTATTTTATGTAGATGAAAGGCTATACAACTAATAAGGCACGATGCACGCTCACTTACAGTACTAAATGTATAAGGAGTCCTGACCATGTATTTCAAACCTTTCCTTTCCAGTTTCTTTCACTAAGTTTGAGAAGTAACTGATGATATGTGTCAGAGTTATCGATAAGCTATTTTGATTCCTCAAGATAGTTTCCTTATTTCCAGTTATGTTGTGTCCAGAGCTTGGTTAATGTGGGGGTCTAATTTGTGCTCAATGCTCTCTTTTCATTTGAGGTCACTATAGTACAGTCTAATCCACTAAAATCGTAGTCTTTAAATTATTGATCATACGTGCAACTTCAACTTCATTTTAAAGGATTTTGGCTCAGTCTAATTAAGGTGTTAAATTTTAATAAACCATTAAAATCCCACTTAGGTGGTCAGCATTCTAAAGATGTTCTCTGCTGAAATTTAATGTTGTCCTCCACTGCAAATAGTTTTGGAAGGATGTCTGTGGTTTCTTAATTGAATATTAGAGGTTACACTTTTTTAAAGCTAGTTTAAGTGTGTATTCAGTCAAATCCACATGAATGAATATAAAATCTAAGCTCAAAATTTATTGAGACCTGGATCTAAGATTTCTAGTCTGCCTTCAATCTGTTTTTGAAACAGTACTGATTAGTGTGAGGTCCAGTTTGGTAAAACATAGCTTGCTTTTAAAAACAGTGCTACAGAACTGTTGCTGTTTGAATTATAAAACAAATGAGAGGCAGCTGGCATCTGTTCCAAAATGGCCTGTCAGCTGTTGTTTTCTGTCATGCAAAATGATGAGGGCCTCATTGTGATCTAGAAGTAAAGGAAAAGCCTCTCAAGTCGAATATCTTCTTTGTATCTCTGTTGTCGATGTGACATTTGGGTATCTTGTCTTCAGTTATTTAATTGATAAAGAAGTGTAAAATAAAAATTTTCATGAGAGTAGCTTGTGCAGAAATGGCATTTTTCTAATAAAAATCCCGCTTAATTTGTTTACCTTTCCAACTTACAAGAGGGACTGATTTCCCCCCTCAAACAAATCAACCTTGAATTAGAATAGGTGAGGAATGCATCTAAGACTGGTCTTCAAATATGAATAAGAAATTGAGGTAACCAGTAAAGTAATGCCTCTCAGTGATGTTACCAAAGCTGTTGTATGTAATTTGACCATCTCAAAAATCACTCTGAGCTCGAACTTGGGACAGAGCTTGGGTTCTTCAAGTAGAAGAGCCTTTTGCTTTCATATAGTTTATTTAAAACTAGCAGTAGTATTCTACAAAAACCTTATTTCTAATTGCTAATTCTGAGTAGCACCCTTATTATATCAGAAACGAGTTCATGACTCGTCATATTTTTATCAACCTCTCCCATAGTCTCATATTCATGATTTGAATTTGAATGGTTATGTATTAAAGAGAAACACCAGTAATGTTCAGAGGGCTCACAGTGCAGCATCTGTTCAAAGTATTAAATTTCTTTTTAAATTATCTCAGATTCTGAAAATGTGGCTTAAATAAAACTCATTTAAAACAATAAATTCAGGTGGTGTTCAGTTTATTTGTGTTAGAGACCGCACTTCCACTCTCCAATTTTGGCTGCTTTGTGAGGCAGAGTTTGCAATCTAAATCCACTGGACTTACCATACTAGATCATATTTGTGGTCCATCCAGTTGCAGGAGATACCAGAGAAAATATGTGAGCCCCATCATAAACAGCTGTTGGATATTTTGGCTCTCATATGTCCTATTCTGCTGTCTAATAGATTGGCGTAAACCTTTAAGAATGAGTTTTATATCCCTTTTAGAGCCTGTGTTACAACTTTGCGTTACTGATACTCATATAAATACATAATTTTACAAAGTTCTTGGACTCAGCAACTTCTGTGGCAAGGAGTTCTACTAAAAATATTTATCAGCTTTACAGGGGTATAGGTTGTAGCCATGATAAGAACCTTGTCTTATCAGATCTGAAATTTGTTGCCATGTACTCTTTTTGCAATCCTCTCTGCTTGTGTTAGGAGAGGGACAATGGAAATTCTTACTTCAGCCTGAATAGAACAGAAGAGATGGAAACAAATACCAAAGCAAAATGTATGCAGCATGTCAAAAGCACCAGGCTTATTAGTTTACAACTCCATTCTCTCCAGTCTCCTATTTCATAATTCCTCCCCCCCAATTACCTTCTTTCTGCAGCAGCCAGTGCAGAATGGCCTTCACTGGCTCCACAGAAAGTGTTTTAGGTCCTTTAGATGGATACAAAAGTAATTTCAGTGCTACTTTTCATTTTCTTCATTATCTTAAAAACAAATCAAAGAAATAACAACTAGTTTGCAACTAATCTACAAACTAGTCAGGTTGCCTAAGATATTTTGAAGAAAGTTTTTAGATGTTAAAAGACTAAAAAAAGCAATACTGTATGTGGTTTTACTCAGAGAACAAGCATGATAAATTGATCTTTGAAGTAATCTTTCTCTCTTATTTTTGACAAATAGGTGGTATTAAAAGTGGATTATGTGTTAAGCATGCTCTTAGCTGGGTGTCATATTCATGTTGGCCTTTTTTGTTCAGTCCTTAAAAAAAAAAATCCCAAAGTATTATTGGTATTTTTTATCTACATCATCCGGTATAAAAGTTTTTACTTTTTAATTTGGCCATATTGCAAATTCTTATACATCAGTAATGAAAGTAAACGTGTGCTATGTGGTTTCATTAAAATTGTTGACACCTTGCACTTTTGGAATTTTGCCTCTTTCTGATTCTTAATACAGCATTAATACTTCTGTTGTACATTTATTTGTTTATACTCTTTGTACAGAGTGGAAGGAGTGTTGGAGAAAACACCTGGAAGTTGCTGTGGTTCCTTAATTGCTAGAATACTCGGAAATATCAGTGTAGATGAGTGGTAGAAAATTAACATACAAACCTTACCCCTCCCCCCATTGTTTTTCTATTGTACTGAACAGACTTGTGAATGTGTAGCCATAACCATGTCTCCTTTTTCTTCTACCTCGTATTTAAAAAAAACAGCTGTGTCACTGCAAATCCCTACCATCTGCCCACCCTGTTCCATAAAGCTTTTACTGGCAGCCTCTCCTCTTCTACCTTTTAGTATCTGTTTTCTCATCTCTTTGACTCCATTCTGTATGAATGCAGTATAGAAAAGCTAAGAACAAAATTCTACAACACTTCTAGCATACCTGCCTTACTAATTTAAGTTCAAAACAGAGAATCTTTGAGCAGTCATAGGGTACGTATCTGCTTGAAAAGATGTATTAACCCCTCCCTGCTTCTCCAGCCCCAGTTGTAGCTGCTTTCTCGTATGAGCAGCAGCGCTGCATTCATTTGTGCCCTCTGATTAAGGCTAACATGGGAGCTAAGCTTTTCTTCCATTTCAGCTGTTTCAACAGAAAATCGAACTTGAATGCAGCAAAGTTGATGCAGAAAGTGGGGGAGGGAGATAAAGAGCAAGCACTTCATCATAGAAAAACATAACGAAGGAAAATGCTTAAATATGTGAAACCAAATAAAGATTTACTTACTGTGAATTTTTCAGCTTTAAAAACCAAGCTCTAATCGTTTCTTACTTGGTCTGTACATAGTTATTTCACAGTATCTCTGAACCCATATAAAAGTTTTAGAGGATAAAAATGTAAATCTAAAAATGTGAAATAAAAATTAAATAATTTTTAAAAATCTTATAAATATGAAGCCATGGGATAGTGAGACATCTTGTGGTCTTGAAAGTCTTGCAATAGATGTACCTGAAATTTGTTAATAGCTTGTTGAGCTGTCCAGTTTCTTAAGTGAAACATGTACCAGCTGACAGGTTGCTTTAGGAGTTGTGGCGAAGTGTTACAGTTTTTTATTGGACAATTTCAAATTAACTTGTGGATGTGGCTTTTAGGCCTTTAGGCTTTAGATGCAACTTAACCATGTAA